AAAAATATCAGTGAGTATTATAAACACTCATAAAATCGCGATTTTGAGGCTTTAAATGAAAATTTAGCAATGACACTAAGTAAAATTAATATAATTTTTTTTTAAATTTCACTTATTGCAATTTTTTTTAATGACATACTTACAAATGTCTGGGTTACTGGTAATCTAACAAAGTTTTTGTGGAATAATTTAGATTAACGATGGATCCATCGTACTTTGCTGTTTTAAACATTTTGGATCGGCAAAATGGTGTTGCTTTGTTTTATATAGGTTTTGAAAAAATCACACAAAGTGACAAATATATTCGAAATTAGATTATTCGACAATAGCCTTCATAAATTTTCATAAGTGAAAATAGATTAAGGCAAGAGGACTAAGAAATTGAATTTTAGTTATTTTATTTATGATATCGTTATTTACATTAAAGAGATAAGTTTAGGTGAAAAAAGATCCAACTAAGGCCCTCAAAGTTTACTTAATTAAGCTCATTAATAAAACATAAGTCATTGTCTACTGAAAAGTGTGTTGTATGACATTAATTGGTAATTAACGAACTTAATAAGTATTTAATGTCGTTTTTGATAACGTCGGTTGTACAAAATAAACCTGATAACATATCAAAACATTGAAACTTTAGTGGAAAAACAATCGTGATAAGTAAAGTGTCAAATATCGCTTGATTAATTGATTTGGAATTTGGGTTCCTAACAACGCTGCCAGCGCCACGGTGGCAATTTACTAAAACCCTCGAGGGGTGGACATTCGACAACTAGCGCCAAGAACCTAAAATTCCAAAGTAGCAATAAAGGGTAAGTAAGTAGGTTGTTCGAACTCATTGCGATTCCACCTTTGATAAGTGAAACCAGGTGGATTCTACATTCACCCTTAAAAACTGCCACTTTTTTCACAAAGCTGGTAACGATTTTAGGCACCGAACAAATATATTATGTTAGATTGTACGCATTTATAAATTATGCATTACCCATAAATTCCATTATTCCATAATCAACGTATAAGTAAAATATACGAGGACGACACCTGGTATGCTCAGTGCTCACTGACTGCCACAGGGAGATAAAAATAAAAGCGGTCCCCAAAAAACGGTCGGGTCCGATCCGGAGCGTTTTAGGTGTACGTAGGTATATATTTACCTATGCCCATAAGGATACAATAAGTATGCCTATATGGATGAAAAGAAGAGAAGATTGAAAATGAAAAGGCCCTGTGTGCCCACCACCACGTGTCGGTCGGTGTGAGTGTGTATACGCTCAAGCGGCATCGGCTTTGGGGTTTGGCTATACATGTGTGTCCCCTGTACCACGGGGACGGTGTCGGTGGTGCAGCCGAGGAGTTAAAAAGAGACGGTTGCGAGAGACTCTCTCTCCTGCGACCGATGAGAGAGTATAGTAGAGTATAGAGTAGAGTGTGTTGCACACACTCGATCTGCTGTGCTGCTGCTTGTTTTACTCTCTCTTTCTCACTCTCTCGCATCATCGCACACATTGGCACACAACAGTCGTACGGGCGCGCGCGAGTCGCGCAGCACACAAGATGGCGGCGTTTGGGTGTCGTGGGTGCTGCTGGCGCTGCTAAACCCAGGGAACGTCGACGAGGACGGCTACGAGGACGAAGGACGACAAGAGCCGAGGCGATAGTCCGAAAGACTGCTCGGCGGGCGCAGCCTTGCCTCAGTTCCTACATAATTACTTTTATTTTTATTTATTTTTTTTTTTTTTTACATCGGTGTAGTTTTAATAACAATAGTGCGTAGTTTTTTTTTCTTCGCGAGCAGTGCCGCGCGCCCCGTAACCTGGAGCCAGTAGCGTTGCCGCAGTGCGAGCCGCGGAGCTGCGTCTCCGCAGAGCTCCGGTCCGTTGCGTGGCCCGTCGGCCGTCGACGACGCCGCCGCCGCCGCCGTCGCGAGTGTCCAAGTGCACCATCATCCTCCCCGTCATCACCATCGTTATTTAACGCGTGTGCAGCGTGCGAGTTATACCTGCTGCTGCAGCAGAAATCGTCGTCGTCGTTGTGCCCAAATTTTGGCTGTAGCGACAGCCCTCCAAGGCGGCTCGAGAGGTGCGAGTCGGGCTGTGGAACAGGGCTGCTGTACAGCGGTGCCGGCAGAAGTGCCCCGGTACCGCACCTGGCCGGCAGACCAGTGCTCCGAAACGTCCGGACAAGGACGAGAAGGTCGGCGAGAGCGGTGACGACGACGACAATCATGCGAGAAGCGCGCCGTCGTACCTGCTCTCGGACGTGCTGCTGTTGTAGCTGGTGGAATAGCTGCTGAGGGGATACCGTGGGCACTGTTGCTTGCTTTCTTTCGCGAGCTCGGGTAAGTCGGCTCTCATTAACACCCCCCCCCCCAACA